ATCATTATTGAGAGTGAGGTATTGAAATCCCTTACTATTATTGTATGGCTGTCTATTTCTCCCTTAAGTTCTGTTAATATTTGCTTCATATATTTAGATGCTCTGATGTCAGGTTCAAATGTATTGATAATTGTTATATCTTCCTGGTGAATTAAACTTTTGTCATTATATAATGTCCTTCTTCAACTCTTGTGACAGTTTTTGACTTTAAGTCAATTTAATCTAAGTATGACTAACCCTGCTCTCATTTGCTTACCATTTGCACATAATCTTTTCCCATACATTCACTTTCAGCCTACGTGTGTCTTTAAATCTAAAATGAGTCTCTTGTAGACAGCATAGGGGATATTATTTTGGGGTTTTTTTTTAATCTATTCAGCCTCTCTGTGTATTTTTGATTGGAGAATATAATCTATTTACATTTAAAGTAATTATTAACAGGGAAGGACTTACTATTGGCATTTTGTTTATAATTTTCTCTCTGTTTTATGGCTCTTTTGTCTCTTTTTCCCTCTCTTTCTCTCTTCTTTTGTGTTTCACAGGTATTTTTATTGTGACATGCTTTGATTCCTTTCTCATTTTCTTTTGGGTATTTCCTATAGGTATTTTCTTTGTAGTTACCATGGGTCTTACATAAAACATCTTATAGTTATAACGATCATTTTAAAGTTGATAACAACTTAACTGTAATCACATATAAAAATTCTACATTTTTAATTTCCCCCCATATACACATTTTATATTATTAATGTCACAAATTACATCATTTTATATTGTTTGTCTGTAGTGGATTGAATTATGTCCTTGCAAAACTCACTGAAGCCTGAATTGTCTCCCAAGTTTTATGTATTAGAAACTTGGCCCCCACTGTGACTGTTAAGAGGGTGGGAAATCCTATTATGGTAATTGAAAGGTGGAACCTTAAAGAGGTGATTGGATTGTAGGACCCGGCAGTAGCGAATGGGTTAAAAATGTAGTCAGGGGCCTGGTTCTGAGGCTTTAAAAGAATAGCAGAGTCTCTCTTGCTCTCTCTGCACTCTCTGCTTCTACCATCTTGCAATGTGAGACCCCTGGGTCACTGTCACCACTACCAGATGGACTTTAGACTTACCAGATTCAGAAACTATAAGAATAAATTTTGGTTTCTTTATAAATCAGTCAGTCTCAGGTATTCTGTTATAGCAACACAAAACGGATTAATACAGTATCCATTAACATATTTTGTAGTTGTAGTTTTTTCATAATTTTGCCTTTTAACTTCTTCTCCAGAATTAAAAGTGATTTGTACACCATGTTTATAATACTACAGTATTCTGTACATGTCTACATATTTACTTTTACCTTACCAGTGAACTTTATATTTTCATGGACTGTTTTGTTGCTGTTTAGCATCTTTTGATTTCAACTCAAAAGACTCCCTTTAGCATTTTCAATAATGCAAATCTAATGATGATGAACTTCCTCAGTTTTTGTTTATCTAAGAAAGTCTTTATCTCTTTTTTATTATTGAAGGACAATTTTGTCAAATATTCTTGTTTGGCAATTTTTTTCCCCAGCACTTTGAATATGTCATGCTACTCTTTTCTGGCTTTAGATATTTCTGCTGAAGAATCTACTGATAACTGGTTTCTGGATTTCTTACAAAGGGAATTGGTCCATATATTGTTAAATTGGTGTTGCCATTGGAGGAAAAAGGTTCTCTATTTTGCCATCATAATGGTGTCTTTTGATAAACAGGCTTTTTGTTTAATTGTAGTGAGATTTTTCAATCTTTTCCTGAACACATGCTTTTTCTGTGTCTTGTTTAAGAAATCATTTCTAATCCAAGGACGCAAGATATCCCTATATATTCACTTCTAAAAGCTGTACAATTTTGCCTTTTACATTTGTTTTCAACCCACGTGGAATTTATTTCTATGTATGTATGTATTTTTAATCTATGTACATATATATGTTTGTAAGCATGTATGTGTGTGTGTATGACATATGTACATATGAGAGATTGTTTTATTTCCCCACTCGGATAGACAGTTGTCCCAGCACCATCTGTGGAAGAGCCATTCTTTTCTCACTTCTCTAGAGTGACATCTTTCTTATATATCAAGTATAATATATGTGTATGGGGCTGTTTCTGGGCTCTCTTTTCTGTTCCACAAATTTGTTTTTTTGTGTGTGTGGTGTTGTTTTTTTGTTTGTTTGTTTGTTTGTTTGACCAGTAAGGGGATTGCAACCCTCCGCACAGTGTCGTCCACACCATGCTCAGCCAGTGAGCGCACCGGCCATCCCTACATAAGATCCGAACCCACAGCCTCGGTGCTACCAGCACCGCACTCTCCTGAGTGAGCCATGGGGCCAGCCCCATAGATCTATTGGTTTATCCCTGCTCAAATATCATAATATGTGAATTATTATATCTTTATAATTTGTCTTAATGTCTGTTCGGTCCTATCTTGTTCTCCTTTTTAAGAGTTTATTTGGGGCCGGCCCAGTGGCGCACTGGATAAGTGCGCCACTTAGGAAGCGCAGCGGCGCTCCCGCCCGAGGGTTTGGATCCCACATACAGACCGGTTCCCACTCACTGGCTGAGCGAGGCGCAGGAGCAACACCAAGGGTTGCAATCCCGTTGCCGGTCCCTGGTCCGGTACGGGGGCAACACTGAGGGTTGCGATCCGTTGCCAGACACGGAAAAAGACAAAAGACAAAAAAAAAAAAAAAAAAAAAAAGTTTTTTTGCTT